GCCGACCCTGAAAGACGATAGCATCCTTGTCAACGGTACGACGGGGAAGGGAGAAGGCGACGTCACCTTCGAGGCTTCTCCTGCAATGGATGCTCTTCTTGAGCCGAACGGGATGTCCTTCGAAGAGTTTGGTGGTGCCTTAAAGGCAAGCAATTTAGCCGACGTGGCCATTATACGACCGAACGAGGAGATTAACTCGTCGTCGCTTCTGGATGAAGCTGTCCCTCCGGGACACCAAAAAGGTGCTGAATGCACGTGGTGGATTGTCGATCCTGAAGGATCCCTCGGATCCATACTTCCCTTGGTAAAGAAATTCCAAGACGTCGTCTCCAAAGACCCGCCGTCGATCCTGAAGGATCCCACGGATCCATACTTTCCCTTGGTAAAGAAATTCCAAGACGTCGTCTCCAAAGACCCGCCGTCGATCCTACCTCCTGACCGAGAAATGTGTCATGAGATTGACCTGATTTTGAAGCCAAATACTGCGCAACACGCCAATGGCCCCTTTTCAAGGTGCGAGCATGACGCGGGAGTGGTGCGTGAGAGTAAGTTTCCCCATTCGACACCCACGTTTTGTGTTTGGAAGCCGAACGCTCACGCTTACAATAAGCTAAACGCTGCCGCCATTCTGGCACAGACGCCGATTTTTTAAAAAAGATGTTCTCCAGAAAAATATGCTTGGCTGTACAAAGTACAGTGCACTCGACTTGGCGTATGGATATTGCCAATTGCTCGTGAAAGCGAGTGAGATTCCGCTGATAGCGGTGAGTACTCCAAGCGGGATGCTTTGAGGGTGGCTGGTGATGCCCAAGGGCTATCAAATGCACCAGCAACACTTAATCGTCTTGTGACGCAATTGTTCAGGCCCCACCGACCGTATGCACAAACACGCTTCGACGAAATCTTCGTCCGCAGCCGTGCGGTGCTCGGTAGGGTAGCTAAGTAGAACCACATCTTACATTTGGTCCTGAGCACGGAGTGCAACAACCTCAATCTTCAATGGAGCCAAGCGCTCCACCGTTGCCTGCAGCGACGCATGCGCTTGGTTCACGGCTAGACGTCGCCCCGACAGAGCGCGATAGTCCTCAAGGCGAGGCAGCCGGCGCACGACGCGCTCCATATCATCAAGAGCGTCCGCACAGCGATATGACACTTCAGCATGACGCTTAGCGGAGCTCCCATCTCGAAGGATATCATCCTCAAGGGCTCGAAGAGCATTTCTAGTCACCGGACGGCGGTCGACCCGGTCGCCACCGCCCGCCACCAACACTTCTCGATGAGAGCGGTGACATCAACTACCACGTGAAATGTCTAGTGAGACGACGTCATCTCCAGCGTCAAACCCAATATCTGAAGTGGCGGGGGTATCCCGACTCTGGAAACTCGTGGGAGTTTGAGGTGCCACTTCAGCAAGATTGCCCAGTCGCCGTGGACGCCTTGATCAGAAAGATCAGGACGCCCCTCGTCATCAGACGCCCTGCGCTTCCCGGCAATAGCCAGGGAAGTAGAAGGGCCATGAGCTCTTGCGGTCGCAGACACAGAGCTCGCGGGAGCGTAAGGGGTTTACCTATTCGTCTCAGGGCGACAATCCGAAGGAAGTCGACGGCGTGCTTTGAGTTTGGCAAACTCAAATCGGAGGTGGCGCTCCACACGCACGTCCACTTCCTTGTGGCCTAACTGTAAGTTATACAGTCAGGAAAGCATCCGGTGCCGTTGCACCCATCGCTCAAAGATCGCTTCGTCATCCA